TCATCGGTGGCTGATTTGCACGATGCTTAATGGAATGCTTTAGATCCACAAGCCTTGGAAACGGAATGCTCCATTCAAACTCCCACAATCCCGGGCCGGTTGAAATGGGTTTTGCAGATGTGCAAGACAACTATGAGTCTATGAGCTATAAACTTTTCCCAGGGGCGTTTTGGGTCTTAGCACGAACCAATTGAAGCATCTCAAGCAAGTGACTGAACTGATGAAGAGAGTTTGCAACACCCACTTCGGATGGTTCTTGCATGGTTAACACATGGGATTCAAGGTCATAGAACCATCCGAACTGGGCTGAGAAGGGTAGCACACTTGAATCAGGAGTTTTGCCATCCCATATGGGTTAGGGGCAAACCGCAAACCAGAAGTGTGTAGGCCAAAAAGTGACTGTGTGGCTGCTGAAGAGGGATACCGATTGCAGGTGATGTCATTTGCTTTTTTATTTTGCTGTTTTCTGCGTTTGCTTTTTCATTTGCTGTTGTTTTGCTTTTTGGCTGTGCTTTTTTTTTGCTTTTGCTTTTTGTAGTTGTTCTTTTTTGTTTTGCTTTTGTATTATTTGGCAAAAACATTAGAGTTATGCTAAGTGGTTAACATAAGTGTACCAACGTTCAGATTGTTCAAAGCACTTGGTTGGGAAAACATTGAGTCAGTGACGACACACATTGTGCTTTGGTTTAGATTTTGAGGTTGCTGTTGTAGTGAGAAAGTGTTGAACGTCCATCAAACTTTTCGTGCACGTCCAAGTACCTCAATGCTTGCGAAATCGCAGCTGGAAGTTCAGTTGGCCCGAGGCCTGGCTGCTAGTTCTCAATGTGGTTGTGAAGTTCATTCATTCCGAAGGTATGAGATTGACATGTGTCGATACCTTTTGGATTCTTTTCGCGGGATATCGTTCAGCAGATTTGGCTTGTGTTGTGAATGTGACGAGAGGAGGGCAACTCCACAGAAAATCGTGTCTAGAACGCAGACAAAAAGAGTCCGTCACCTCGGCTCATGTTTTAGACATTGGCAAAGCCAGTCGCTTTCAAGCAATGTTGTGGTCAAAGCCTGTTGCATAGAGGATGAACTGATGAACCAAGAGAATTCAAGTGCCGGACACTCAACAACAAGAGACACGCCAAGACGCACTCTGCACGACTTAGGTTCCCATGGAGGTTACAGCGGCGTTGTCTGGGAGAAGTTTGGCTAGGCTTGATCTTCTTGAGCCCTCGAACTTACAAATGCTTCCAAGCAATCAGCATGTTTGAGGCCAGCCCTAGGAAAATGAGCGCGGCTTCTTTCTTGATATCCTGCCCCTACTTTTGGGCTGAATGGAATTTGCCGTGTGTTGGTGCATACAAGCCATGTGTAAGAGTACATAAATCCCTTGCAATGCCAAAATTTACAGAACGGCAGCTTCTGGGAGTGCAGTTTTTCACATTCTTTTCATTAGCAATCGGCCTAGATTTTACAGGGAAAATGACAGGAATTAATCACTTGCAAAGGATGAATGACAGGAATAGATCATGTTTAAAAGGAAAATAATAGGAAATAATCATTTATAAGAACAAAATATAGGTATTCATCAATGTTAAAGGGAAAGTGAAAACATTTACTGATTTTTATTTAAAGGAAAAATTGAAGAAAGTTATACAAATTGCAGGCTGAAAGGGATTCATAGAAGGGAAAATGACATTAAGAGGAGAGCCAGAAACATGTAAACAAAATCTTCCAGACTCTCTGGAGGGGGGGTCCCAGCCAAGACTCTCTGAATATTGTGTGTGTGTTTTTTTTTCGGGGTTCTGGAAGAAACCAAAAACAAAACTGCTGACCCCATGAAACATCCCCAGACTTCAGACATAAGGTGTGCAGTTCCTTAAAACTTATGTTCATTTTATTTCCATTGAAGAATGATTGTTTATTGGCATTGCTCTTCTAAACATGGTTTTTCCATTAAGGGATTATTTTCACTTTTTTTCAGTTTGTAAATTAGTATGTCTTTTATTTGTTGGCTTTGATTGTTTCATGTTACAGAATAGTTGGTTCCTTTTAAAGGTTTTCTATTTTCAGTTCGTTGCCATTTAAAACTTGTGTTTCCTCTCATTTCCTTTTCAGAATGATTGGTCCCTGGTATTTTCATTTAAATATCATTATGTTCATTTATGCTCTTTTTTTTCCAGGAACGTTCTTTTTAAAAGGAACAGTTACTTTCAATTTTAAACATGGTTATTTCCTTTTATTGTCCTTGTAACAATGATTATTGTAGTGTTTGCTTCCTTTTTGGAAATGATTAATGTTTTTGATTTCTACTTTCTTTTGATAATGATGAAATCCTTTCATCTTCTCTTTAAACAATTTCTTTTTTCTATGTTCCTTTAAATGTTTTGTTGGTTCTTTTCGACTGCCTTTTGAAAATGAACAATTCCTGTCATTTTGCCTTTTTAACGAAGATTAATTTCTTTCTGATATGACAGTATATTTTAATATGAAAGGATATGATCAGTTTGATCAGTTTTAAAGTTCAATTTACAAGGGAAACATGAAAGGTAATCATAAAAGGAAAATATAATATAGAGGGAAATGATTATTTTTTTAAAGGGAAAATGAAAGAAACTAATCATTTGCAAAGGATGATTTTAAAAGGAAAATAACAGGAAATAACAATTTTTAAGAACAAAAATAAAGGTATTCATCAATCTTAAAGGGAAAATGAAAACAGTCAGGTTTAAAAGGAAAATTGAAGGAACTTCTACAAATTGCACGTTGGAAAGGATTTGTAAAAGTGAACATGACATATGGAAGGACCGAATCATTTTTAAGAGGAAAAGTGGAAGGGAAGCATAAACGGGAAAACTAAAAAAGGAAATGACCATGTTTAAAGGGCAAATGAAAGGAATCATAAAAGGGACAATGAAACATAAAGGAAATGCTCATTTTTGAACGGAAAATGAAAGACATGAATCGTTTGCAAAGGGTGAATGAAAGGAATAGATCACTTTAATCAGGAAAAGAACAGGAACTATTTTTAAAATAACAAATTGAAAAAAACATCACCCGTAATCATATTATAGACGGAAAATTGAAGTAACTTATACAAATTGCAGGTTGAAAGGGATTCATAGAAGGGAAAATGACATCTGGAAGGAATGAAGCAGGAAGTAGTACGAGATTGAGGTTTAACGTCGAGTTGTTATTTGTGATACGAACAGGCCTAGGTACTTAAATTACTAGTACGATTGATCCTTCAGGTGGTCAAGCATGAATCCCCATTTTAGGGTTCATTGAAAGAACTTGAAAGAACTGATCCCTGTTTGGCACACATTTGGCACACGAGCAAAGAACGCCAAATAAGGCAGGTTCACCGCGAAAAGTGGTCACACTGCCATCTACGGCAGTATTCGTTGATGCGACCAAAAAAAGTGGTCACATGGACTTCCAGGTACTATATAAGCGCAAGTCAGACAATGTCAGACATTCACCCACATCACCCACACCACAGACTAATGACCCCCACACTGACGAATGACGACCTCGACCACTCTAGACCCCCACGTGTTGCGACGACACTTCTATGGCAGCGCAAGCACCAAGTCTTATATCTGTGTGCAGGTGGTTGCAAAAGAAGCTTGCGTGACGCTTCAACATGTCCAAATGCTGCAATGGCATCATTTTGTGCGAGTTTACATTCTGCTTTGTGTGGAGGTTCATGTTGAACCATGGTTCAAGCATTGTGCCACAACTGCAGGGAGAAAAGCCAAACACGTGTGCATCACACAGAAGCCACCAAGGCCTGCATCCAAAAGCCAACGCAGGCTTGCTTCAAAAAGCTTGCCAACAGGCTTTCACCAAAAAGCCTGCCAAGGCTTGCATCATGAAGCCACCGAATGCTTGCAGTTGAAAAATTTGCACCAAAAACAACAAGCCAAGTATAGCTCGCGCAAAAGAGCAATCAAGCGCTTGTACTTAGCCATCTCCAGCTTGCAAAAAAAGGCAACCAATGCTTGCAAAAAAAGGCAATGCTTCCAAAGCCTAATATAGCTTGCTGGCCACAAACAAATGAACAGCAAAGAATTTCAATTAGCTGCGATGGCCTTTAATAAAAATATCATTATGATAGCTGTTGATTGCTTTTCAGCGTGGTGGTTTACAAAACTGAATCATATTGAAAAAGCTTTTTGCTGAAGCTTGCGGCATTTCATTTCTCTGGTATGTTTTTGGCATTCTTACAAATGTTTTTATGACAAAACAACAACAATATAAGAAAAAATAGAGTTGATGAACAAATTTGTACATATATATAGGATGCTTGAAAATGATGACTGGCTCAGCTAACTTTTGAGCTAACTTAGTTAACTTTTGAGCTAACCACCTGCTAAAAGTTAGCAGAATTGACAGGGTTAGCCTAACTTGATTTTTTTTAGCCCTAACCGTGTAACATGTATACAACATACTTCTAACGTACATCTAACATATGTCTAATATACATCTAGTTAACTCAGATAACCATTCTAAGTACTTAGCAGGCACAGGGTTCGTCTAAGTGATCGCAAACCAAGCGTTTTCAAGCAATGTTGTGCTCAAAGGTCGTCGCATAGATATCGTCGCGTAGATAATTCAAGCCAGTGGTTTTGTTTTCCAGTTTTTTTGTTTTCCGTCCAGAGCGAGCGTTTCGTACGACACTTCCTCCAAGATTCACGCGTCAATCCTCCAAAACGAGCGCTTCGTAAGACTTCCTCAACAACTCACCCTTCGAGTCTGCAAAACGAGCGTTTCGTACGAGACTTCCTCCAAGAGTCAAGCGGTTCCCATCGCAGCACACACACATAGCAGCCCTGCCAAGCATTTTCGCGATTCCAGCCCCTCCAAACAACACCCGCACACACGCCAATCCGAATGTCACAGCGACATTCACCTCCACCACAACTCGTAACCTCACGATTCCCTGCGCCTGCCACGAAAATTTACGTGTCCACGACCGAGCCTGGTGTCGTTCTCGTTCACCGCGCCAGGTGCGGTTTTGTACGCCCCACGCCGGTGCAAAAGTATGCGATCCCCGCCGGACTGGAAGGCGCCGGACGGTCATCGGGACATCCAGATGTTTAATTCACCGGACCGGAAGGAATCGAGCGCCGGGAGCACCTGGGAGAACCCATCAACAATCATAAACCATTTTTTTTCCAGGTTGATGTTGTTGTTGCTGTTGTTGTTTGTTGGTTGTTGTTTTCTGTGTCTTTTAGATCTTGCATATCAAGGAAACAACAAAACTATTATATAACCATCCAGACCGCCACTAGAGGAACAACAAGGATTCATGTTGTACGTTCAACGTTTCAAGTTGAATGTTTTCTTGCTCGACTCACCATATGAGCAACTGCCACATCCTCCGAGGAAGGCAGCATCACTACAGTCAAAACATAGGTAAAATGAAGGAAACCTTCAGGAAGGAGAAGGTTCACAAGAAAACACAAAAAAACGATCAGGTTTTAGTACATGTTCTTAGGTGTGTCCAAACCCTCAGGAACGATAGGGTTCACAAAAAAAACGATAACGTGGGAAGACTGCGCACTACAACACATAAAAGGTTTTGCACGTCGCCCATATGTTTTCAAACACCAGCTGATACATCTGGTGGTACCCTCTCCCAACAGCCTCAAAGTCATCATTGTCATCTGGTGGAATTCTCGCGGCTATATGAGACGTGAGACTATCCAAGGAAAACAAGGCTGTGTCAGGTTAAAATGAAGCACACCAACACACCAACACCCATGACTCATGTGAAGTACACCTCATGACTGATGGCCACAACATGCATTTATCGCGTAGGCGGGAGTCTGTTTAATTGAAATCCTCAAACTAGAAATCAATGATTTTTCTGGTGTTCTCCCACATTCATCCTTTGCTCAGATGTCCGATGGATGATTGAACATATATATATATATATAATCCGCCCCTGGCGCCGCTTGACGCGGCTGACGCGGCCCGCAGGTCGCGATGTCATGTGTTCCGCGCAGACGGGCAGCGGCAAGACCGCGGCCTTCCTGGTACTCGGACCGAACGGAGGAAACGACGCGGACCCGAGGAACGGCTGTCGAGACCGGGTGACCGGGCGAGCGGCGGATGACCAGGTCGGACCGGGCGGAGAGTTGGCGGTCGGGCGCTCCAAGGGCCGTTCGGATCCTGCCGGGGGTTGAGAGCCAGGAGGGTCTCGGAGGGTCGCTTCGGAGGAGGTGCATCTTGGAACCCATGGGGAGGACAGCCTGGCTGATAGCCGGGCTAGTCGTCGTTGAGCGTGACCGCTGCAGCGGTGTTGGAGGCCCAACCGGACTCAGAGGCAACGTATGGCTTAGGGCTCCAACCACATCCTAAGAAGGTAGTTATGTACCCCAACCACCTTCTCAGGTGGTGAGGGTATAATCGTTGATATCTGCTGATCTCCAATGCTTCAGGGTTGTTCATGGATCGAATGGAGTATAGATATGTTTCCTTCTATGTTATGAATGGTTTAGGTGTTGGTCGTGTTCAGCTTATTTTTACAATAGTCTTGTCATACCACTATGTGCTGTTCAATTTTCCCATGCAGCTGCATTGTTGTCCAATTTTTCAGTATACCTGATGAATTCATGTTGGGAGGGCATCAAGACGATTAAAGACCCATCAAATATACAGGACATCCTGAGATGAACAGCTCTGGTGTTTACCGGAGGCCAGCAGTTTGAGCGCTGCCAACTCAAAAATTGGTTTTGGCCCTGTCAACACAGTCACAAGAGATGAGGGAGCTTATTGTTTCTTTCTCCTTTCCGACCAATCTGGTGGATGTTCATGAGATCCGCTCGACCATGAAGAGAAACCGTTTACTACTCCACCTACGATTACTCGGCGCAAGGTACCACATTCTTTGAAGCCTGTTGCTTTCTCGTGCTTTCCTGCCTTTGTCCACCTCAAACATCAACATTAACTCCCTGGAAGTCGGAAGATCCACCCCCCCGGCCCAAGCCCTCGACCTCCCCGCTCTCACGCCCAGAACCCTCCACAAGCGTTTGGCTCGGGCCGGGTGCCGCTCGGCGTCCGCTCCGCGCGGCTCGCCCAGATTCCCATGCTCGCGAGCATGATCAAGAACCACCATGCCATCGGAGATCTGGAGCCGTCAGACCGACCGTCACGAGCTTTGGGCCGATTTGTCTTTTTCTAACGAATTTGGGACTCCTTCTGACTGATCTGGCACTCCGGGCAGTAGGGCTTTGGGGTCTTGGTCAGCCGTCTGAGACTCTCTGAGACAATCGTGCATCCTTGATCTGCTTCAACCTCCCACGCATCTGGAGTCCATTCCATGTTAACTATAAGAGGTCCTTGGAAACCCTGTAAAGTAGAGCAGGGAGACTCATGAAGCAATAGGTTCGAGATGGTCGCATTTGGTCACATATCATAAGACGCACTGCACCACTTGTGTGTAATCGATACATGTGTTCAGATATGTTCACACTTGGAGACCCTTTTCAAGGAGATCCTTAAACACAAACCCCTGAGACAGAATCCAGGAGGTCAACCCTTCCCATTGGGTTGGAGCAGAGGTATGAGCCAAAGACATAGACGAGCCATTGATTATGTTTAAATTGGTTGCTTTTTGCTATTGTTCTAGAAACGGTGCCATCTACTAGCGTGAGGATACAATATGGAACAAAGAGAAGGGAGAGATACAGAGAGAGAGAGAGAGGGTGAGAGGGGGAGAGGGAGAGGGAGAGGGAGAGGTGGGGGGAAGCAACCAACAAAAAAGAGAAAGGGCACTGCCAGTAGCAGAGAAAAGAAAAAGAACAAAGAGAGAAGAAAAAAAAGAAAAGAGAGAAGAGGGAAGAGAGAGGAAGGGAGAGAATCAAGAAAGAAGAGAGGGGGAGGGAAAGAACAAGGCATGGACAGCAGAAAAGGAAGGGCTTGTGGAAAGCAGGGAAGGGAGAAAGGGAGAAAAGAGAGGAGACTGAGAGGGGACAGGGCGCGACTGCCACTTTGTGTACAGTAGGTTGCGCAAAATGGAAGTCAGAGGTGGGGGGAGGGAAAGGAGGAGAGGGGAGAGCAGGTATAGGGAAACGGCGAGAGGGGATTGGGCAGGACTGACAGCTGCAGAGTAGATGGCGCAGCCTGATGATCAGCCAGGGCATGGGCAGCAGAAAAGGAAGGACTTGTAGAAAGGACATCCTGCGCCATCTACAAAGCTGCGACGGTGTTTCTCGTGCGCCATCTGCTAAGGCCTAGCTACAGGCAATTTTCTTAACCTAAACTTCACTCCTGCGCCATCTACAAAGCTGCGATTGGCCACTTTTTTGGGATCCAGGGCAGGGGGGCGATAGCCCTATGTTCAAGATCCAGGGGGCACAAATAGATGGCGCGCTTATGTCAAGCAAAATGACATCAACTCAACGCCATGTTGTTTGCAGTTAGAGTAATATACACGCTAAATCAAGCTTTGGACTCACAGAAATCACTTGAGCCGCACGCCCAAGCGGCTCAAGTCAAGACATTCACAGACAGGCTGGGCTGTACCTTGTGTGTTTTCTTGCCAAAGATCCTGGATCAAACAGATGGCACATTCATGCACGTAAATACCCTTTGCGCAAAGCATAGCTTTGACAAGCCTATATGGATGTCATGCCCCTGTGAAATTTGGCCAGAGGGTTTCATCCTGGAGTATGTCTTGTGAATCACGTGGGATTGAACATGAAAGAACACAGCAAGGTCAAGGCACCACCTCCCCAGAAACATGTGTACCCTGCACACAATGTACGGGTGCAGTGAGGTGATTTGTGCCGTATGCTAAGTGGTGGAAGAGGGTTGTAAGCTACAACCTGTTATAGCTTATACAGTAACATCTGAAAAACCCAATGAACATGGATATCCGTTAAGGGACGTTAGCTATCATTGGAGGCTCAGACTCAGTCGGACCAATGAAATCGGACAATCCCACGATCCAGACGGTGCCGTTTCACAAGGGGTGTTTGGTGGATGGTACACGTCCTGAAGTACGTATGTTCAATTGTTTCATGTTCAGCTCTATTTGCAAGTGAAGAATTTAAGGCAACTTGCAATCCCCTAGGGCTCCTGGCCGCCCCCTCCGTTTCGGTTCGGTGCTTGGGGTGGGTGCTCTTGGGGTGCTCTTGCGCCCGAGCCCGAACCGGAGGAGACGCCCTTCACTGGTCCGTGCAAACCCGACACACTCATCTTCTCGCCCACCAGAGAGCTTTGCCACTGGGGAGGATGGAGAGAACGTGCGGGGGTCCGTGCGGGGAGAACAGCGGGTCGCTGCGGGGGTTGTTTGGGGGTTTGGGGGACCTGGGACGTGTAGTTGTCTTTCTTTGGACGGAGTCGGAGATGTTTGGCAAGGGGGGGCAGAAGAAGCTCAGGAGCTACAGTCGTTTGATAATTTTTGTTTGATGGCAAGGGACACCATGGAAGTCTTAGACAGATGGGGGACCTGGCATAAACCTTCAAACTTGGGGGGTCCCTGTGCCATCTACTCTCAATAACTTATTCTTCTTTGTGATTGGGACCTTCTGCCGAGTGAAGTGGGAGCTTTCCTCAGCTTGAGACATGCATGTGGGACGATTCAGTATATATGCATTAATTTATATACTTGAAGAACCCTAAAGTTTACGCTTCTTACTCTGTTCCAACATGACACTTGCAGTCTGCAGCGGATCGGATTGACACATTTTGCCTGGCAGGTACAGCACGGTCAGATTTCCACACCCGTTTAAATGTATAATACTTATAAGGCTTTCAGGTGTGGAAATCTGACCGCAACTTAGGTGTCGACATGTTGCACGTAGGATTCTAAGGGGAAAGGGTTTGTCCCGTTTTAGAAGTCAAGAAGCGCAACTTTCGGCACCCCAGTGTAATTTAGGATTGTTTCAAAATGATCAGTTCATAGTAAATAGCAGTGTAATATTGTAATATGGCGTAAATCCGTTCGATGGTAAGGATCAGGAACACCTCCCCTTACCCCGAAAAAAACAGTGGATCACCCACAAAATGTGTTCTTGGGGATGAATTTCTCCACTATTTTTGTGAAGACCTCTTCTCAGCCAAGTGTTGCACCTCCTGACTGTGTTCCTGAAGGACCCCTTCTCATAGTGGTGTGTATTCTAAGAGGGAGACCCCTCTGAGAGTCGAACTGGGAGGCCTCCCTATGTTCAGATACAGATACCCCTTTCCATATTGTCTCTTATAAGGCAAATCATGTTTGGGGGGGGGACAAGGGGTCAATTGATGCTTCATTTTTGGGTTGCCCAGATAGTGAGTTCGACCTACGTTACCCGTTAGTCCCCCCTTCTGGAATTCAGAGTCACACCTTCCTTCCGACTGCGGAACAGTTTGGACCAACGATGTGGGCAGACGACCTGTCCCACCGTTCGGGGGTTCCGACGATCGACCCGGTCGATCGAACAACGAGGTCGAAGCCGATGGGCAGGTGACGTCGAAGAACTAAGTCGTCCTGGGGACCAACAAGTGACGGTGATGGTGTAAGTTCCCGAACTGGGTAAATCCATGTAAATCCCGGTGAATGTACCAGCACCTTCCAACAGGTCTCCGAAATGGAGGGTTGTTAGGCCCTAACAGGTTTCAATTGGTGACCTGTTGGAGGTGCTGGTATGTGTTTTGTTAATTCCATGCTTCTTTGAGCAAATCCAAGCACGACAAGTCAAGGTATCCAGACCTACGAGGATGCCTTGAGATTTTGCTATCAGACCTCGCACAGATGTGCCTTGGCAGCTGCGCTCCGTTGGACTCCGCGTTTTTTACTGGTGTTTTGATGGCCGAGACGTCTCTGAGAGTGGGCCATTTCCCAGGCACTCCATGGGACTGCCATAGGACTGCCGCCCCAGACAGACCCCCCTGGCACCACCCCTGGCCGTTTCTCGGCAGTCCGGACTGGCAGTCCCAGACAGGTCGTGTCTGGGTTTGGAACACATGTTCTTAGCATTTCGTTGTAACGAAGTCAGACTCCTGCGGTGGATTGAAACTCCGCATGTCTCACACATCGAGCGCGAAACGAAACGAGGCTTTGTGGAGGTGAAACTGTGTCTTTCGTGCAAGAGCTTTGGTCAGAACCACCAATCTATAAAATAGTACAACATACAGTGCAGTTTGTTCAACAGCGGCTCTAGAGCTACAGAAGAAATCCAGATCCCAACCTTTGACATTCGTGTGCGCCAGTGCCCACCATAGAATCCTCCAAAGCGGGGGTCGACCGCGGTTCTAAATCTTCAGCTTCCTCTTGAGCCCGTCCCGCCCCAGCTGATTTTGGAAGCACAAACTCCCCCAAAAGCCGGCTGATTTGGGTGACGCAGAACCTCCCTGCAATAAGAACTTCCCAAATCACTTCGACTGCGACTGCCCCCCCAACCAAAACGTCGGTGCGACTGGGTCCCTGCTGTCCCTCAGGTACGCGCGTGTATGGCCAAGAGAGCGCCAAGCGCCAGATCGCCGAGCTGGCCAAAGGCGGGGCGGTGCGTGAGACCGAAGCCCTGTCCTGCGCGGTTCGGCGTCAGCCAGAGGAGAAGTCATTCTTATTTGACAACCCAGTAGACATATATATATATATATACAGATCATGGGTAGAGGAGTTGTCCTCACCAGTCTGCATCATGCTTGATTGAAGACAAGTCACATGCCTGAAAGCACATGGCCCATGGCGATAGACACTATTGATAATGATCCTCGTGAACGCATACGCGGGTCTCAGACCTCGGAAGTCGCGCAAGAACGTCAACAAAAAAGCTATTTGACTGGTCTGACGTGTTTAGCAGGGAAGTATAGACTCCAACCCCAAATATATTTATATATATATAGATCTCCAATAAAGAGGGAATAGACTCCCAAGATCTCCAATAGAGACTCCAAAGATCTCCCAGTTGGGATCCAGCCACTTGAAGGAATCCTTGCAGGTGGCACCAGTGAGTTCAACAAGCGCCAACACCCCAAAAAGCCTTTCAACTCTTACTGTGTGGTTGTATCCCAATGTGACTTGGAACTTGGATACATTATGAATCATTATGATACAGCACATTGGTGGTATCATCAACTGGCTGAAACCAAATCAAAGTGCGTAGATGCTTGACGGTTTAGTCTATAGCCAGCGACCCCCGATGTTTCATCAGAGTCGGCCTCTTTGAAATGCCAGCAGATGTTGTTCATTCACTTAATATGACACCCAGACACTCCATGGGACGGGTATGGCAGTCCCATGGAGTGTTTGGGACATATGACTGACCTTGTGGTTTGCGATCGAGAGATCTAAACCCCACAGAGTGTCGGATGCAGGTCTCGACCTTGAACGTGAGGACCTCGAAGGTGTATGACTTGTATAGGCAATGGTGAATTCTGAATTCAAGTTTTGTGCAAGGAGCCTCAAGAAAATGGGTTCCTAGTTTGACGTCAGGTTGTTGATTCTGTACTACGGCTACGGCGCCTGAAAACAATTGAAAACATGTTGTTACTGGGCCTGGAATGCTCTTTCAGCCAAGACTTTCCGGCAAAACCAATTTTTTACGAGAAGTGTGTTTGGTCTTCCTAGTTCCGCACCATCCGCGCGCGTGCCTATGAAAACACCCTGTCGTCCCCCGCATAAGAAAGACAGGCCCCCGGCGGGGCACATCGGAGCTCCCGTTCGAAAGGTGCCGATCTCATTGTCGCGACCGTGGGGCGACTCTACGACTTCGTAAAAGCTGGGATCATCAACGTGGAGGCCCGGAGTGAGATGAGAGGGGTTCACCGAGTCACAAGAAGTGACAACGGTCTTTGCAAACCAAGTGTTTGACCTGTTCGATTTCTGTCGGACACTGTCGGATATGTTGTGAATTACTGTAATTTGTTAACAACGTGTATCAATGTGTGGGTTTGTGATGGTTTGTGCTTTCTTGATATATAATATAGGACGGAATCAAACTGTTTGAAATATCATGTCACATCAATCAACCAGCACAGTAGGAAGGTGCATCCATTTAGTGTAACTGGACAAAAAAACAAGTCCTTCAGACATGTTACCTTCATTGACACTGGTTGAGACTAATATTTCCCAGCCGTCGAGGATGCGCGTCCTTCTGTAGCGCGTATAACCGTATATATATATTAGTCAATGCCAGCATGCACATGTTAAGACCGTTTTCTTTGCATGGACACGTTAATCACACTGACACACAAAAACTTCGGGAAATCGCTGGTCATTGTACAAAAGTTCCTCGTGTATCCTTGAACTACTTTGCGTTTGTTTGCGTTATTTGTATAGGCAGATTCCAGGGGACTTAACTTGAACCAACCATGGGCACCTGGCAAGCAAAATCATTACAGTATTTTTTCACAGATCTCAGTCAATCTGCGGTGTCAGCCCCAGTCTTGTGCTTTTGCGGTTCACCAAAAAAGCGCACCTTCCTGGAGAGCTAGATAGATGCAAAGACCTCCCAGACCTCGCCCACGAAAGTGCTCGAAACTAAACGAGAACAGGTAGAGAGTCCAACAGCCAAATGGATTGCCCTTCTTCCTAACACTCCAGATGTCTCTTCCCTTCCCTTTCGCTACTAGCAAGAAGCTACGAACCTAGCTCCAGACGTTGTCTCTTCCCTCTCAGACGGAAAACCGCAACACCCGCCACTGAGCCCCACGAGCCTCACGAGCCCGGGTCGGCCCTGTTGGAACGCCGGCGTTCCACCACAGCACCGGCGGCGACAGGAAGTGAACTGCTTGGTGCTCGATGAGGCCGATCGCATGCTGGACATGGGCTTCGAGGTGTGGAGCCGGACCCACACGCCGGCCGTTTCGGATTGGCGATCCGGAGACCCCCACGAGATGCCCACGAGAAGCGGCGGGCGGAATGGGAGCCAAATGACACAACTGCATGATGTGCACGTGTAAAGATGTGCATAAAGTAAAACGGTTTTGGGACCATGCAGCAGAGGAATACACCCTCAGGCAATGAACCTTTGAACAAGGATTTTCCTCTACAACCCAGCCAGTGCTTTTCAGGTTCGTGCATCTTCCAGGGAGGATGTACATGTCATGATGGTCACTTGACCATCGTTTCATCACAGATCGCTAGCACTTCCGGTGTGCGAGTCTTGGAGTCTAACGGGCGACCTGGGAGGTTTCCACGGATGTTTCTCCGTCCTTGAAGCCCGTGGGAGATGTTGCGGATGGATGCGGATGGGCTTGGAGGCTTGAATGATGATTGAACATTTTGAGGAGCTGGAACCAGCATTCATTTGGGACACTACCTTCATACATGCACTGATGTGGGAGATGCTTCCGAAACACACTTGGGACTGTCACACAGGATGGCTTAGACCTCACCATGCTCGACACTGATGTCCTTCAGAGCCGGCAGTCACGAGCACTGCCCACCTCCGCAGTCACACAGGATAGCTTAGGTATTAGTGGGTTCACAGCACCTTGTCATCTTGTAGGACATGTTCTGACCGTGCCTCCTAGAGACTTCTGTTTTCCTTCATGGGTTATCATTGCTTCGGTCGACCAATCTGAGAGTGGTTGACCAATCCTAGAGTAAAAAAACATATAGACACAGACTTTGAGGCAAAATTGTTTTGTCATATCCAAATAGACTTCTATAGGCTTTATCCTACATGATAGATTCTGGACAAAGTCCCAGTTATGAACCAACCTTGATGTCAGCATGGACCTTTGACTTGGGAGTTTCCGGGCCTGTTCCGCTCGTTGCATTCTTTGGTCAATTGTGGTGCTTTGGGAAGCTGTGTGCTATGAGGGTCAGCTACAGGATATATAACTCTTTGCTCCAAACAATTGCCCCACTCCAAACAAACAGTGCTATATATATAATGCAATTTGCAATTGCTTTGCCGCGAGCCCTGAAGAAGCGGCAACCCTTCCATGGTGGATTTCAACATCCTGCCAGTATGATAAGCAAAGAAGGATGGTCAGATAAATCCTGTTCATCCGTTCCAAACTCAGATCTCATTAAAACAAGATGCAGTCGAAACCATATGGATCCATACTAGGATACTAGTGTTAAGTCAACTCAGCTCGTGTGAAGTCGACTCGAAACCGTGTGCCCTTGGCAGAACTGCACTCCACAGGGATGTCTAAGCATAGATTGTATTGATCTATAACACTTGTTTTCATAATGGGTGACCCCAATCAATGGAATTTGGTGTATTTTCTCGTCTTCCATGGTGTCGAACTGGGAGGTCTCCCTATTTGAGCTTCACACCCACATGGTGGAAAGCTTTCATTTGCCCCTGAACCACTCGCTGTTTCGAAGACCACCAACTCCCATCGGCAGGTGCAGATCAAAGAGATTGCCTTTTGGAGAGCGGTTTAGGAAGAGGGAAGCGCCGAGAAAGGGCTGGTTCTGAGACAGTTCTGCAACGGCTAGGCGGTCCAGATTGTGTTGGTGAGATGGATATTTTGCTCTGTTGAGGAATAACGTATGTATACAATTGTATACATGGGCATGTGTTTCTAGTGTTGTTTTTGCAAGCACGTATCCAGGTGGCACAGGACATTGTCCATGGAGGCTTTTGCTTAAACACACCTGTGACAAACCTGTGACACCTGTGATGATCACCTGTGGGGAAGCCTGTCAGTTTCATGATCAGCTGTTGGGAGCGCACCTTCGATTTTCAAGAGCGGACCTTCTTATTGCGGACGGCCGAGTGGCGAGTGATGGCGACCCAAGTGGTATCGGAGCAGTGCCGAAACAACTGTTTTTGTTGCAAAGGAAGCAGTGACAAAGGAATACAAAGGAACACATATTTGGTTTGACTTCAGATTGAGTCACAGAGCCGCTCATTGGCATGTAACCGCTACTGCGTGAACATCCGATTTCTTGTAGCATCCTGTTGTCCATTTCCCTTGTTCAACCCCAAAGGTCTTCCACCAATGAGTCGTTTTTCACACATGGATGTGGGTTTTTGATGGTCTTTGACACCTGTTGGTGAACAAGCCGAAATCAACAGAATATGATAGGGGTCTTCTGCCTCATGAGGATTTCGTGAGGCTCAAGCTGCGCAGCTTCATTTTCAGCTGCGGCAGACAAATCACTCGCTAGCTCAGGTGGAAGACCACAACATGCCGGGCCACTCTCACTCAAACATTGGGCGCTTGGAGAGGGAACCATTAAGGCTGGTCACTTTAGCCAGGATCAGCAATTTGTGAGTTACAGTGCTACGTTCTTGTTCTGGAAAAGAACGCGAGAGGCTTTTCTTTGTATATGTAGAGAGAGAGAGAGACGTCCGTCCAGATCGCCAGATCGCCCTAATTCGCCCTAGTGGACCCGCCTTTTTCATCCACTGAGCTTCTTGCGTCCTGAGGCGGTGGTGTCTCAGACAGATTGGAACATCATTAGGGGCCATACCTTGGAATGTCCACAAATCACAAGCAAGAACAACGTGAAGGACAAAGTCTGGATTTTTTTCGCAGACACGGTTTTGACAAGTCAGAACAGCACCAGCAAGTTGCCAGCCAGACAGCAAGATGTGAACATCACAATTGGAGTGGTCTTATTATCAACAGTCTACATCAATCTAACATTTTCCCAACAATGGATGTTCATGTCTTACAAGAACTCGTCCATCGTCGCCGTGTGCACCCACCGTCGGTAAATCTTCACATTGCATTCAATTTAGACAAATTTAGTCAAGTTCACTTCACATCAAGCTGCTGAGCTTGTCCAACAGATATCCTGCCACCAAACGTCCAATTGATAGTTGATGTTACTGTTACTAATGTTTGTCGTTTGCCGTGGATCAAGGAAAAGATTCGCGCCAGACGATGATGTTCTCGGCCACCTTTCCAGAAGAGACGCTTGTCTTTTTGATCGACTGACCTGGGGGAATGGTGGTGTTCTAGTGGGAGTGTGGCTGGTGAATGGGCCTCAAGGCAGTTTTTTTCAACTTCTTGGTTTTGCCGGACCTCACGCATCATTCTGGGGTAAACATGAACATGTATGGGATCGGAAGCATTTGTCACTTGGATGTGCATGACATTCATCGACTAGTTCACAGATGCGGAAAAAAAACAAGGGTTCCATCTAGATCAAGACCACAGGCCTCAGGAGGCCATCGAATTCCATCAGGTAGAGTTTTTCGGTCGGGACAGATCGCACCACAGGGCGTGTTAGTCCAACACGAGTGGACCTGTCGCTTGGCATGTTTGGACAAAAAAAAGGCAGCACATCCGGGACATGACATGAGGTGGATGACAATGCATGCCAGCAGTTTCAGTTTGTTGATATATATATATATATATACTTATACACATAACATTCATATCTCCAACCGCCGTTGGAAGGAATTTCCGATATTGATATGGCTGCAGTAGACCCTTGTCTTAAATGTGAAGCAGCTACTAGGCTCGAGACAGATCGAGTCTTTCCTGGTGAGTCCACCTACGCAGCAGTGGTTTTTCCCGGTATCCCTGCAGACCTTGTGATTGGGTTGGGAAAATTGGACTGAATGTTCACTGGAAAGAGGTGATGATTCAAAGGATGCCAAGTGTGTCCGGGCCCGGGTCCTCACTATGTGTATCTATGTGTATAGATGTTTTGTTTCACCTCCGGATTGCATTTGCCAAGGGTGCAGAATGCGGCACAAAGCTATTTGCACGATCACCTGATGGTGGTCGTGGGCTGCTGGGCAGCAGGTTGTTGCAGCTTTGCTGCTCCTTGCGGACTCCTGGCCACACTCGCTTTGATAGCATGGTAGCACAGAACCATGAAGGATCACTCATTTCAACAGCAAGATGAGGCTCCAGACTCCTTTTGGCAATGTCAAACATGTCGAGGGTTGTGGGGACCAGTTCTAGGCAAACATGTCCTCCATCCATGTCCTGTAGGTTTTACATGGTTTTACCATGTTTTATATACGCAGAAGAAGGTTAGAGATGAACAATTGCGGAAACAGGTCAAAGGATTGAAGGCCCTCACCAGTGGAAAGACAAGTGTTTGGATTGAAGCCACGCCGCCACGCCCAGGCAAAAAAGGAAGTCCTGCAGTCACAGTCGCGCAAATGGTGGAGAAGGTGGAAAAGGACTGCCGACTGCCGCGACCCTTCGCCAATGGGCGACACGGCGACACTGGCAGCCTGAAAGATAGGGGAACCAAATGAAGCATCCACTAGAATCGCTAAGAGTTCACAGCACGTGTTTGCACTCGCTGAATCGATTTGACACCACGAAGCATGTAAATGCATGCAATGCAGTTTTATGAAAACTGCCAGCTCAGGGGTTGGCTTGCGTTGTTGGACATTTTGTTGGAGCCGCTGGGTTGGCTTTGATGGCTTGACAAGGCAGCAGGCAGCGCTCCCAAGAGTCTTCAGTTCGTCTTCAGATACATTGGAAGGGTGTTGCAGCGGCACACACACCTCCATTGTGGTGCCTAAGCTTCACTTCCTGGAGCATTGGAAAGTGGGCATCACTTGTTTGTAGAGGAACTGGGATGTTTGCAAGTGGTTTGTCGACATGCATGATTCATTGGCAGTCCAAGTCACATAGGCTCTCCATACCTAGGTATTGCCATGTCCAACCACTTCCAGTCACCATTTTCAATTCCCCAAGAGCCTTCTGCCGTGGGGGGGGGCTCACCCCCCATCAGTCTCTTATTTGTTTGCTGGTTGCTCCTCAGCAGGCTTCTCTTGCATTTTGTCTCCTCAAACACTAGGTAATCTCATTGGTCCAGGCGTGCGTTCTGCTCAATTGAGATCAGCCAATGCTAGCCTTTGGCCTCACAACTCCGTATAATCACACACACAATGTGGCTGCAAGTGAGTGGTCTTCTAGGTTACAAGCTTCTTGTGTTTGGCTGTTCTTTCTGGCTACGTCTTGCCATGACATAGTGTTACAACACTATTCACTGCACACAGACTTGGTGAGAGCCAAAACAATATATATATATATATATAAGCAACATCTTGCCCAAGGCCAAAGGGAAGCCGAGCAAGGCTATGACACTTGGTTCTGGGTAGAGCCAAAGAAGGCTAGATTGTGACCAACATTCAAACAATGCAGCCAAAGAAGGCCACTGTGCAACCATCCGGATGGCCTGCTTCCCTGCCACTGCACAGTGATGGGGGTGCCATGTCACTGAATTTCCAAAGTTCTGTCACCATGCGCATGGTTCTTGGAGGCTTTCGTCTTCCTCCTAGCTGGTGTAATTACTGGTCCAACATCATCATCGTTCCTGAGCTCCACCAACTCAGCCAAACCAGATGATGCTGGAAGGGATGCCTTCTTTTCCTTTACTTACAGCACATATCACATGTCAAGCTCACAATGACAGCAGAAGCACTTGACTTTCCAAACTGCTTGCCTTCACCATGCTGCAAGGCGACTCTATGTATAATCTGGACAGGCCCCATGGAGCAGACACATGAAAGGTTACAATGTCAACTTTGAGCCGAACTCACACCGCTCTCAAAATCCATCAAAGTTGAAATAGCCAAGAAAAGGCTACTTAAATTGTGTATGCTTCGCTTTGTGCAAGCCGATGGTTGGCGCACTCAAGCCAATGGAAGGCTTTACTCAGAAAACCAGCAGCATGTTGCTTTTGCCTTTCTCAAAGGATTGAGCTTTGTTGCTTCAAGCAAGTTATGTCCCTAAGATTGATCTCTCTTCTTAACAATTGGCTCTTTGGCCGGCCTCCTCCTCCTCCTCCTCCTCACACACACACACACACACGGACCCATCTCGAAGGCCATGAGCTGGATACTTGCTTCAACTTGGTCACTTGTGGCAAGCACAGGAACCTTGGTGCCATGTTTTGTTTCCACATCGATCTGCAAGACCTTGGTGCACTCAGAAATCCTCTGACCTCTGAGTTGAACTCTCTTCACCTGGTACGAAACTTGCCACTATGTGATCTCTTCCTTGCTTGGCCTGCGCACAAACATTGCATGGCTCTCACTGGTGCTTAAACCAAGATAACACAGGCCTTCAAAGTCTTTGTTGACGTACCTCAGACATGAAACAACCAAAACTGTCTACATCCCAAAAATCAAAGCCACGTCAAAAGTAAATTAGTCATGGTTGGAGGATTTGTCTGAGGATTCTGCAACAAAGCCAGCTTGGACATGCTGGCTTGGCTTTGGTCAAGCTGACAAGTCTGCCACAAATTTGAGATCTGAGCTGCTACTGTTTCAAAGGGGTTTTCTCTGTCACTTTTTCAAAGGACATGCAAAATTGCCGCTTTGCAAAGCTGGCCAGCCTTTGGACAAAGAAAACCTCCAAGTTCTTTCTCCTTGTTGCTAAAAGATTCAGCCTTTGACAATCAGATTTGGTAATCAATTTCTAGAGATCAAGGCGGCTGCAAGCAATGATGCCTTGCCCAAGGGATATACTTTCTCTGCTTTTCCGAAGTCAATATGACTGATTTGCGTCCACACTTCCTGCCCAACCAACAATGCCTCGGTCAATGTACATTCATTCACAAAAGCCAGCCGTAAAGCTATGGCCTATGGGTGTGGCGCTTCTTACCAACAAAAACATCTAAAAGGTCAAATGCAGCTCAAGATGCTGAAACCATGTAGCCAAAAGATCAGTGGGAAGGCGCCCACCACAGTACTTGCTCATGAAATTTTCGACATCCTCTATGTGTTCTTTGCACCTTGGCTCTCCACTTCTGATGAAGCTCAAGGCTCCAGTTTGGCCCCAGATATGTATACGTATAAGCTACCATGGCCTCACATCCGTTCGCGACATTAGCGCCCAAGGCGAGATAGTCGCTACCCGCACTACAGGTTGACGGATGAATGCATTTATATAGTACTTGTATGTACTTGTAGTTTGCATGGCCGTTGGACCGTCAGACTGTTTGAAAAGTACATCGTAAGGGAGTCTCTATTATGACGCTTCATTTGGTTTGTTGATGTTTCGTGTGGGCGTCCTGTTCATGCACTGCATGCAGTGCATGCAGTGCTTTTTTCCGCGTTTCTTTTTTGAAAGCCTTTTCCCGGAAAGATGATGGGAGGCTCACTCACCATTGGAGGACCAGAAGAAGGAAAGATTGATCGAATACCTCGACTCGCTCTTTCACAAAGATAGGACCGCTATGAAGCGCGCGCGACGGACTCCCCATCAAAACGGATGGACGCCGAATCGATTTGGTGTGTGTGTGTGTGTTCGACGTATACATGGCCATTCTGGCCAAACAATGCCAAGAAGCAATGTTTCACACTTTCTAAGTCACCATTGATCCGATCGAAGGGCCTTATTGGGGGTAAAACTGATATGCCCTCCCTGAGACAAACATAAACAGTATGGGATTCCGCCCACCTTGGTCTGTCAACCTAAAGTCATCGAATGATTCAACGATTGCATCCAATGCGCACCTCGTTCTTTTTATTGCATGAAACTGGCACACGGAGATCCACTCAAAGGCAATTGCAGCAGAATGAACATAGATTCGATAGATTGATGTTACTTTTCTTGAGACCGTTTTGGAACTAACATAGACCGATGGAACCAACACAGCTGGCACAAAAAAGTATTAAACAACATATATAATACTATATAATACTGTGTTTAACTTTTGGTAGAGAGCATCCAAAGCACTTTTACGGAGTGTTTGGGAGACGATTTGAGCTTTGTTCGTTCCCCAAAAAGGGCTTCCAAAACTCGATCCACGGGTGCACGAGTGTACTAGGCCCATTCGCGGCGGTGTAGGCGGGAAAATCTGGTGTTTGGAGCATGTTCGTTTGGAGCATGGGCTGGAAATGGCCCATATCGCGTGCTTTGAAACCATGGGCGGAGGTGGTTGGACCAAATGGCGCGTCGGTGTCCGAAGAGATGTTTTCCCTTATTGTCTCATCGCGATGTGGCCATGCAGTAACCACCGCGTTCTGGTGTTCACCAACAGCAAGAAGACAGCCAGGGCCCTCGGCCGGGATGGGCTTAGACCACAGGTAGAGATTGGTGACAAGATGACAAGCAGGACCATTTGTATTGGATTCCTCGTGCCTTAAACACGAACATGTTATGACCCAATGCGTGACGCGACCCTACTCAGTTGTGTGCTCAACCTGATCTGAACCTTTCCTTTGATAACTCCATGTTGTGATTAAGGCCTTTTCATTGTTAGCAGTCCCCGGCACTTTCTAAAACATGGTGAAGGGTCTTGATAAAAGGGGTTTTACAAGGGGGCAAATTGTTTGTTCGTGTGTTTTGTTTACGGGGCATTCCAGGATCTTGACGGCACGGAATTTCCTTTGTTGTGTAATCATGCATGAACACGGCGGCTCTAAGTGAGAATGAAGAACATGGCATCCGGGTGGTAATGATCGAGATGCAATGAGAAGAACATGGCATCCTGGTTCTTTCAATGGTCGTAACTTAGAACTTCAGGAGTGTCCACCACCCAGGATTTCTTTGCTCCAAATCTCACCCATTTCAGATGTGCTGAGAGCTGCGCAAAAACAGAGATGGTGTCATGCAAAGAATGTCGCTGTTGGTCGAGATTTGGTGGCGGTTGGGGAGTCGAAGAAAAAGAAACCCAACAACCACACAACCTCAGAGGTCCCAGGGGACTGGGGGTCCCCTGGGCCAGAAGCACCTGTCCCTGTTGGAGTCTGAGTTACGCCGTGGGTGAAAATGGATGAACATGCTGGGAGTACAGTGGGTCTTGTTGGTCAGCAACTTTGGACTGGTAGTTTGTCTCGAGGACTTGGATCAAACCAAAATGCAACAAAATATACACAACTATGACTACAACTATACTGTATATAAATCATGTATATATATATATAACTAAAACATGAAAACAAGATACTGTGTATATATCTGATATATAAATAATATATACATATATATATAGAAGTATATAGCTTTCTACTATTTTTTTTTTCAGCTGTATGGGGTGACTTTGGACTTCAAGGCGTTCAGACCTCGCAGAATCCGGCCCAGGCCATGTATCTGGATGAACAGCTCTGGGCCCCTTGGAACGAAGTGTGGAAGGGTCCCGCTTCGGGTGCCGGTGCCATCTACTGACCTGCATGACCTATAGCTGAGTACTTCAAAGAGCAACGTGTCACTCCAAATAGTGTCAAGATTACTGAGTGTTTCAAGACTACTTTCAAATAGTTTGCAGGGAATAGACATTTTGTGTGGCTTCTGCACCAACAAAGCTGGCAATGCACGGCGAGGGTATCAGTTCTGGACGCAAAACTGACGTACCTGCTTGATCTCGGGTGATAACACAGTTTACTGTTGTTCTCGGCCCTTTATAAGGTCTGTCACAGGTCTCAGGTCGTTTCTGCATGAACGTGCTAGTGCATTCGTCCAGTCGACTTCTGATTTGTGCTTTTGCTATCTAAGTGATTCCCCGCATTGTCCCACTGTGGTGTGCTGTGGGCTGTGGGAACCCAATTTTGGGTCTCTGAACTCATGGACCGCAATGGTGATTTTATGTGATTTTAATTGAATTACTTTTTGCGCTGAGAGCCTTCACTTGAGAAAGCTGCATATAAGCCGCAGTGCCTACTGGAAACATTCATTTAAGCTGTCCCGTCCAGGCGCATTCATTCCCAACTGCTTAAGCCGATGCAACCACTTCAGTCACTTTTCAGTCACTGTTCTTCCTTCCCGTTGCTGTTGCTGTTTCTTTTCTCTCCTTTCCTCTCTTTGCCCGGAGGCTTGTTACGTGTAAATCAGGTTGCACCAGATTCTCGGGTTCTCGCATGTGTGTTTCCCAACACACAATTCCATATGGAACACACCTAATTTGGCGTATGACCCTCTGGCTCGGAGTCAGTCAATTTTTGTTTTCCTTCCAGTTGCGTTTCTTTGCTTTCCTGCAACACTCCCTGTTTCAAGAAGGATACACAACACTGTACTGTAATTATGTTCAAGTCTTTGCAGGGGGGTGGAGACGCCTGTATTGCTTCTCCGCATTTCACCAACGAAGCTGGCAATACACGGTGAGGGTATCAAATCTGGACGCAGCACTGTTATACCTGCTTGTGAAAAAGAGTTTACACCTGTTGTTCTCGGCCCTTTATAAGGGCTGTTTCAGGTTTCAGTTCGTTTCTGCATGAACGTGCTAGTGCACTCCTCGAGTCGACTTCTGATTTGTGCTCTTGCGAACTATCTATCTAAGTGTGCGTGTGTGTGTGTGTGTGTTGTTTGAAGTTGCCTGTGTGGTTTTGCGTAAACATGTTCAGCAAAGCGCACGAGCAACTGAACAAGGGCGACTGAACTGGTGAATCACAGCTGAACACATGGCATCGTTGGACACGTCGCTGTTTCTTCGTATTTGTTTCCGTGTTGGACAGCCCTGATCAAAGAAAAGCATGATTTAAAAAAACATGGTTGAAGTGTCTCCCACTTTGCACACACAAAAGGTATCAAGTCAATTGCATCCCACTGCGGAGTGTGTTGTTTTGCTTTTGGAATACCCTCCGCCTCCACCAACAAAAATACAGGCCCCCAGTTAAAAACCTTAGATAAATAAGGGTGTCCACAAAATGGGTGTTCTCCGGGTATCCCATTTAGGAACCAAGGTTTCAGTTGCTAGAGTAGGAGTCAGCTAGGGCAAAGAGAAGGTTTTGCAGTCTAGGTGGTGGACAACCAGGGTTGTTTGGGAACCTTAAAAGAACACATGCACAAAAATACTACCTGTGTTGTTGGGATAGAAGTAGTTGAAGAAGGAAGTAACCTTAAAACAAATATATACCGTATCTAGGGGACTCCGGCATGAGATGTTATTTTTACTGACAGTGCAACAAAACACAATATGAACGGGGCTTGCAGGATCCAGAATCAAACTACAGCGAACAGTCTGTGTTGCAATGGACCCTGAAGAGGGGTGTCCTGAGGGTTTGGAATATGTCATGACAGGAACAAAAACGGTGACGTTGTGAACGCTACAGGTCAATGGCACTAAACACTAGGATGAAATGCCAAGAAAACAAGAAAGTGCGAGAATTAAGAATCCAAATTGTCCCTCCATGAGAAACGGTTCACAGCGGGACACGTCAAGCCAAATTTGTGCCATGAGCAGGCATTGGTTGCATTTTTGGAAATTTCATGAGGTTCTGTGAGCCAGAATCTTGTGTTCAAAGCTCGTACCGGATAGTAGGGACTCGGGTCACTCGGGTCAGGTCCTGAGACATGCAATCATCCCAACAAACTTAGGAACCAAAACTCTCAGAGGAAAGTCCGTGTTTTCCGCGATGCGGCATCAGTCCTGTCCCCGGGTTCCGACTCGTTTTTCCATCGTCGATGTCTTGTGTCCAGCCGGGTTCCGACTCGTGTCGAGACACGAAAGACGCGCCGAGAATATGAATGTGGCGAAGACCGCGGCGATCCATGGTGATTTGGACCAAAGCAAGCGCGAGGAGAGCCGCTTGGCGATCCCGCTACGATCCCCAACCAGTGGTGCCAGTGTGGTTCTTGGGGTCATGGACCCTGGCCACCGAGACCAAATGGTTGCAAGCCGCGCCTTTGGTGTTTGGCTTATTGTATACAATCCTTCACCAGGTGTCGTTTCTAGTGTTTGTTGTTTGCTTTCAAAGCCTTGGGGAAGCTGCTTCTGGTCCCTGCAACATATGTCAGAGCTGCTTCTGGTCGTCTTGCACCCTCCACCACTCCAAAAGATCATCACACACCTGGTTCTTCAAAGTGACCCAGACTAAGATCTCCTGGTGGTTTGGTCGCGAAAAGCCGCCAGTGACTCGTGACCCTCCAGTTCGGTCACAAACTGAAGAAGCTGGCACATGGCCTTCATCCATCGAACTGGCTCCTCGGGCTGCTGGTCCAACTATACAATTGGTCGCAGATTCTCGAAGTGCCAATCTCGCCCTGCCAATCAGTGCCGCCCATATTCCCGAGGCCTGACCAAATTCCGGGAAGGCAATGCGCAGGTCTTGATCGCCACAGATCTGGCCTCTCGTGGTCTGGACATCAGCGGAGCCACTGGGACCTGCAGCTCGTTTCCGGCCGCGGACATGGTCGACTGCTTTGTCGGTGGGGGGGGCGTTTCAGGGGTGGATCTCGTGCTTCTCCTAATGCATGGCTTTGCATTAATTAGTGGTGAGGATGGGAGGTCAATGCATGTCAATGCATTCACTGAAAAGCTCTGAACTGAGCTCGGAATCCGAGCTTCTTCTCAAGTACTGTATAAGTGTGTGTGTGTGTGATAGGATGTTGCATGTTTATGTGTGTTCGGTGTTTCGAGACGGGTGGATCCCGGGCTCGTCAGCTGAGACGCGGGAACCCGCCTTCGTGCGAGCGTGATGCCCCAGCGGTGAGATCTGAGAAGCGGAGACCAGTTCTCTCTAATCAACATGCGAAAAAGACCGTAGATGTTCAAAAAAAAAACACCTCAGGTTGAGAAATAACCACTTCTAAGAAGATCAACGTATTACCGTTCATCCAACGATCAACACCACATCCATCTCCATCCATGTCTCGGCCGGTCTGAACCGGTCTGAACCGGTCCACTAACCGGTCCTAGGTGAGCTTCGTGATCAACTACGACGCTCCCAAGGAGATCGCCACCTATGTCCATCGGATCGGCCGCACCGGGCGGATTGGCCACCGGGGCACCGCCATGACCTTCGTCACCATGGAGGCGAAGGAGAAGGGAGTGGTGGTCATCCTGGGTGGATCCTGGGTGACGGAGATATGCTTGGTTGGTGAAAAGCATGGGGTTTCTCACCATGGGTTGTTTCTTGGGTGGTGGATATTGGTTGGTTGGAGACGGAGAACGAATCATGAATGAATTTATATAATGGCTTTGGACATGACCATGCAACACGGAAGTTGCATAATGAGATGGACGTTTGCCAAGACTGGCACCGTTCAGGATGGATGATGGATTCCATAAGTTTTCCAACCAGGCCACAAGACCCACCTGTAGGTGCTTGGAGCCCTAGGGTGTAGAGAGTAGAGACCATGGATTGAACAATTCTGGTGGGAGTTGGACGCCAACATGACTGTGGATCGACCGTCTCATATTGTGTGAGATCTTCGAGGCTATTGGGGTAATCTTCTTGAGTCTTGAGTTTCTTTCCACTAGTGGCCCTGTTTTGGGGTGTGTTCCTAGTTTTTTGGGGTTTGGGAGTATACACACATGGATGGATCCTATAATAGTTGTTGTGTGTTGTTCATGTTCATGTGTTTCAATTCTTCCCACAGCCAACCGCTGAAGAAGTACAGCTAGTAATCTACACGATATTCACCAGTTGAAAAGTATAGGTACACACGACTGCCGACTGCCTGCTTGTCTCATGCCAAGTCGTCGCTCAGGGTTGCTGGTGTCATGACAGCCACTTGGCAGAAGACGCTTCTGTCGAGTACACTCCCTGGAACGGCCCCATGGTGACGTGGATGGCACGACCCCGAGGTTAGGAAGACCATGGTGCCATCCACGAACCAAACAGGTGGTGCCATCCAATTCCATGTTAGGGACCCAGGGAGAGTAATTGTATTTGTAACGTAGTACTGAAGGAGCGAACATCCTGCTGGTGCAGGTGCCTTGTATGTGGCTTAGACGTTATATTATATGTTGCTTTCCGAATGCCAGGGTTTGGCAGGATTCATTGATTTGCCTGGCCGGTCCCTGTTCTGCTTGTAGATGTGATAGATGTTAAGGTAGGGTGTGGCCAATTACCAATAACATCCAGTAACACTGGTGAAAAGATGTTCACCTGTTTTGAGAAGCCCTGTGCAGACCATTTTCCCTTGGTAATGGGGTTCAGTCATGTATAGTCCAATTTGGACACCCAAGGGTCCTGAAGATGTTTTTTTTCTACCTGCTACACTCTCTGAAATCATCATGGAAGTCAAACACCACCATTTGTAGGTGATGTTTCCCACAGACGACCCATGGGACTGGCATCTTTACATACATTGACCCCCCTTTTCAACCACCCCAATTGATCGGTATCTATGCCAGTCCCATGGAGTGCTTGGCTTTGGAATCCTCCGGAGTTCGGGGCCATGCCACGTTGGCCCATGATGAAGTGTCTCACTCCTTGCCGGACATGGACTCCATGGGAAGAGATTGTTGGTATGGAGGGGTCCTTCCGCAGAAGCGGTGCATGAGAAAGATGAGAAAGGAGAAAGAGTACGGGCCGTGGGCCAATCACCTTCTCCAAGGGTGGATTTGTCCATAGGGTATGTACCTTGACCCGCCTGAAACCAACCTGGGTCTTCCTTCAGTTTTGGAAGTTTATACTAATGATGATGATGCTACAAAAAAAAAGGTCACTTGGTAGCCCTTTGTAGATGAACACAAATGTAAAGCTGAACCAATCTTCGGAATACGAAATCAATGCTCAATACCCAGGGACTGGTTTTTAATGCACGGACCAACTATATATATATATATATGTATAAAGACGTGACAAGAACAAAGAATCATGACGTTGATGAACGAGGTTCAATCCAAGAATCCATTTGCAGTCTGCTGTGTTTCTCTTTTTCGGGGAAAGGGAGTTCCACTTCCCCACCGCGTCGCTCAGCCGATGAATTCTTGAGAGAGCTTCCAGCGATGATGGAAAAGGCAGGTCGACTGGGGCCGGAAGCGGTCAACAGATTGGAGAAGCTGTTGGGCAATTCTTGCTCGTGTTCTTGACAGGTTTTGACGCGACGATTTCAACAGTAGTACAAAGCTCAAGGTTGCCACGAGCCTGGTCCTGGTCCAGGGTATGTGAGGGGGTATATGTCCCATCCCTGCGGTGTCCTTGGCGGTTTCGCCTGGGAAGTTGCTTAAACAGTCAGATTGCTTGGATTCTGTCTTCTACTTGTGGGTCTTTGATAACACTCCACACAATAAACTCCGCTGACGTTGGGGGCATCACATTGCAGGCTCCGAATACGGAGATTCCTCCGTGGCTGGCGGAGCTCTCGGAGCAGAAGAACAACGGCCCGGACAGCCCGGACGCGTGCGGGCGGCCTCCGCGCGTGTTTCGCGCGCGAAACAGGTGACGATGAATGTTTGCGAGTGGGTCTGGTGTGACGGTATAGATCGATGGTTTTTCACAAACAAGAAACTCGCAGCACCATCCGCATGGTGAACTCTGGATAACCGGCAAACCCGCGGCCATATCTCTTGACCTAGACGTTGGCGGAATTACGTCGAGTCCTCGGGACTCAACCTGTTAACTCTGGACAATCTTGCATCAATATGCCTCAATATGGGAGTTGATCGAAAACCCCGTGTAAGGAGTTTTATATAAAACAGCCTTTCAGATGTTGTTAGAACCATCCGCGAAGGATTGAGGTTCGCGAAAGTATCTTTTCTTTTCCGCGAAAGATTTATCGAAGGTCATCGCTTTCATTGTTTTCCTTTCTACCGGACTGACAAAGAATAGAAACGCAAGGCAATCCTCCGGCAGAGTGGGCGGAAGTGTCCCCATATGTCACAGACTAACGAACTGAAGCCTCAACATTTCCGTGCCCAGCCCTGGCAGTGCGTAAAGGATTCTCCGGTTCCTGTCCCCACTGTCACAGACTAGCAATCTGGGTAGGCACAGCCCTGACAGTGAGGCAACGACCTGCAGCTGCTCTGACGAGCTGTGCAGATGTTTGCAAATGTTACGGCTTCCCGGGGAAAGCACCAGTGAAATTTTGCGAAAGATCCGCGAAAGTTTCGCGAATGTGCCGCTAAAGTCTAGGTTCCCAGCTTGAGGCCCCCCCAACATTCCTCAAGCTGCATCACAGGATTGGGTTGAGTTGCGCCGGACTCCTGAGTAGCTGTGGAAACGTTCAACCATCTACTGCATGGGGTCATGCTGCAAGATGTCTCTCCCTATTTTGTGATACTATGACATGTTCCGGCTCATGTTAGCTAGACATGGTTGTAGGACCATGCTTCGCGATGAGGCCGCGAAAGATCCGCGAAAGATATCTTTTTTTCCGCGATGAATGGCCATTCCAGGATGAAAGAATATTGATCAACCACCATATATTCACCGGGGGGGCGGGGGCCGAACTCTTCACCAACAAAGTGATAGGCTGGCCAGTAGGCTAGCCAGTGTCCTAGCTATATTTTAACAACTGCTCGAAGCCCAAAGACTCATTGGAGCCTCATAGCTACGGTTTTTACGGTGTTGGACCTCAAACATTATGCACTGCTCTAGCAGTTTGAGGGTCCATGAGCGTGTGGGTAGGACGTGCTTCCCAAGACCTCAGTGAGGCAATGATCCCTATGATTCCTATGATCGACACCAGCGCAAAAGGGTTTCCATGAAGCGGCTCTCCTGATTCATAATCAATCAGGTTTGGGTCAATGGGACAGCGGGTCAGCAGCTGAATCCATAATTTGCAACAAGTATACAGCCGAAAAGATATCAGAATCCAACACAGGTTGAAGAAACCCTATATAATTAGGCATCCCAGTAGGGTCATAAGGTCACTGAACCTCTCTTGGATGATAGGGAACTTCATTCTCTTGCGGTCACAGGGAAAGCCCAAAGAAAGTGTGTCACTTCCAGCGTCGTTCCCTCCCATACGTCCAAGATCACTCCCCAGCCAGATGGAGCCCCGGTTCCGCCGAAGAAGCTGGTCGCAGCAAAGCAGTCCGAGACATGGAGGGCCTTTTGCTATAGTGTTGGGTTGATTGGGGGATACCGGGCATACCCTCAAGTGAACAACCAAGGTTGGTCTATGGTACCCGATGGTGCATCAACCCCTTGACTTGCTCAAAAGCGTGGACATCACGGCACATCCCGAGATACCTGGTACAGCAAGAAGAACGATTGGCAAACCACGGATGTGCGCTATGAGAAGACGGACAACACGACCTTCGATGGCTGGGACGTGAAGGAGGAGGAAGAGGGGGGTTTCACTTCAGGTGTTTTGCTTTTTTGTGATGTAGAACTTGTGACGGGAATCTGTCCAGAATCTTCAAGTCCACATTCATGGGGTGTTTAGGGAAGTATTTCTGCGACCATGGTCCAGAATCTTTCAGACCTTGCCAAGTGGGTGGGGGGTCGGTGCCACCAATGAAAGTTTCGGGCCTGGCAAGTGACCCTGCTGACGTGTAGGACATCATTTAGCTCTCATGTGTCATTAATCTTTATTCCCCATAAAGCGTAGTCACACTAGTCACTAGGGGTTCTTACGGTAGTAGTTAAGCTGTGCTTAGATCGGTGTGCCGCACGGGCGTGTGCGGCTAATTCGCTGCTATTTGCAGTACATTCATGCCTCTCGAAATCCTGAAAGTGCATTTCGACTGCGCAGGCTCGCAGAATCTGGGTGGCTGGAGCGTGTGCTTGTTGCGACTGCGCTCTCGTTGTGGTGCCGTGCGCATTTTCGGACATGGTGGTCACTTTTCGTGGCAGGCGCAAGTGCAGACTTCGTGGCAGGTGCAGCACTTTATAAGGTGGTGATCTTGGACGCGCTCCAATTTCGTGACAGGTTCTGTGAACCGTGACTTTTCTACATGTGGCTCGTTTTCAGAAATCGTGGCAGGCGCAGTACTTTAGGAGTAGTACTGTGTGGACCTTGAAGTGCAAATTTCGTGGCAGTTCTTGGCAGGTGCAGTACTTCCTGGACCTTGAAGTGCAGATTTCGTGGCAAGCGCAGTACTTTGTGGACCTTGAAAAGTGCAGGTTTCGTGGGAGGGTGGGCCTGGTTGCACTGGTGGAGTAGTGCAGGAGCTTCACCATCAACGGTCGTTGGCTTCATGCTGCGAAGTCAATATTTGTACTAGAGATCGTAGGCCAGGGTAGCAGGAGCGTTCGTGTCACTGCTTTGACTGCCATCCTGGATGTCGGAACAACCTCAGAGAGGATCTTGTGGTTTTTGCCTTGGTTGTGCATGTCTTGTCACATCCAGGACCAAAACCAAAACAATGGCGGTTGGAACAGCACGACGTGGAAATCAGGTGCCGCGCCTTCTGTTGTTTTGCCGATTTTTTTCCCATGCAACTGGCCATTTCCACATCCCGGGTGTTCGGAGCAAAACTCGTCGGGTTTGATGGTGACACATCGCATTTCCATTTTGTTTGTATTGGATCACTGCCAAACCGCTACTTTGCGCGATTGTTTTGTAATTATTAGCCATTGTTGAACCAATCTTCACAGCCTTTTGCGTTATTCTTCCCAAAACCATGGGTGCTTCAAAATTGGGTCCTTTCAGATGTCACCGCTCCTTGCAGCTGGTGACCCTTAATTAGGAACAGTTTGGCGAACTGGATATCGATGTGTTGGTCACGAAGTGGCGGGTCATACGCTCTCCCTCTGGATTCTGACTGTAGATCAATCCTTCTGGCAAGTTTTCGGAGGTTTGTACATGTTTAATCATGTTTGCGCCTGTGTCACATGGAAATGGACCATACCCTTGAAAGGATAAGGATGGTTGTCCTCCACTTGGTTCTTCAGTTCGTGAACCAGACTGAGATCCTGGGTGGTTCACAGCCAGGGTGGCCTCCAGCCAGGGTCACTGGCTGGGACCCTCAAAAGGCTTTCAAGAAGGCGGGCACATTGCCTTCATCCATCAATCCACTAGTTTTTGTTTCCCCAAACAGTGTAAGGGTTCTTACCTTAGACCTTCAGACACCAGGTTTGGGGTCTCTTGCCAGATCATTTACACCACATCCTCGTGGAGTCGAATTCTCAGCATCCGCATCGAATCTCCGCCCCAGTCGAAGCAGAATTCGCCGACCAAACGATCCACAGACGAAAACACGAAAACCCCTCAGTTCGACCATCCGAAAAGGGATGGTCCCGTTCGTGCGGCCCTTTGTGTGCAGAATGAACCGGCCGAGTTGGGCCGGTTCGATGAAAAAGGCAGACATATATGATATCATATAAATCATGATCCATGCATGGTTGGAATATCTATCTATCTATCTATCTATCTATCCATCCATCCATCGATCGATCGATCGATCGATCTATCTATCTATCTATCTAGTAAGGCCTCTGTGTGTGTGTGTCATTAAGTGGAGTGACAGAACTGGGCTGGGATCAACAGTCGCGCCGACGTGTCATGACGTCAGACACCACCAGCACCGGTGCGTCCGGAGATCAGCAGTGGTGGAGTTGCAGCCTGGCGCATGAGGGCAGAGTTGATACCGATGTGTGCCTAGATTGTTTGGGAGATCCCAAGATTGGAGAGATCCGGGATGATCTTCCTGAAGATATGAAAGTCATCACATGGGAAGCCCCTTTTTGTTGCTGCGAAGAATAGGAACGTCTATGGGCCAACTTGGTTTCGTTCATACGGTCCCCTTGGGTGAATGCCCTCCCCGGCGAATGGAACGGTCAATTGACCAGTGCGTGGATTTGCTTGGCATGTTGCCGTGGTTTGTGTTTTTTTTTGTTTGGTCTTGAGTGAGCAAACACCTGGATCTTGGTTGGCTGGAATCTGGTGTTTTTGGGGTTTCTTGTTCGAAAGCTGAGGAATCGAACCAAGAGCTGGAGAAGAGCTCATCTTGTGAATAGTGACTAGTTGGGTGCGGAAGGCCTGCCAGGCTGGATGCATTTTAAAGCAGATCCTCGATGGGCTGATCGCATCAAACTGACCGGTTTCAACCGCCGGGAACTGTCCCATCCACCCACTGCCACTGGATGGGACAGGCTTAGACCGTCATAGATAGAAAAGGAGGAAGTGCATTGACATCCTATCTATGACAGAAGGAGGAAGTGAAGGATGCTTAGATGACAGGGGGTCATAGACCCACTGTAGAAAAGATCCCCACAAAAAATGGAGGAAGGACACCCGTTTCATCCTTCACTTTGTATTGGAAGTGCGTTGACATCTTGGGGAGAGTGGAGATGTATTGAGCAGCCTGCAATGGGTCTGTTCTATAACCAGATTCGGTAGTCGTCCATGCCAGTCCTGCCTCAGTTTCCCTCCATGAATTTCATTCATGATGCCTTTGGAGTCACGTCAAGCTAGCCATCAATAGGTGAGGAAGCATGCAATTGGGTGACGTTTCAGTGGGAAACAAGCGGCCATGACTTGTACTGTAGGCTGTGTGAGACTGACATGGTTCTTGGTTTTGGTTTGATCGATACTAATCACGTGCAGTGAAACTGAAACCGCGGGCTTCTTGCTGCTTTGTTCTACCGAACCGACCTTACCTGGTTTTTTTGGCTGTTTGAGTACTGGCCAACTTGTGTACACCATTGGCTGCTTTGCAATGCTTTGATTGTGCTCAAAAAAAATGGTGATCGATCATCTCGCATATCAGAGGATTTGTCCACCAAGGATGGTCAGACATTTGTCCGCTTGCTTCCATTTGTCATTGGCATCTCGCCCTTAGCCCTTAAAGGTTGCTTTCTGCAAGAACACCCCACGAGAGCTCAGTTCTGCTCTCCCCCATCCAGCTCACTGAACGAACCATACCAATCAGTCCGTGTGTGGAATTGTCAAATTGTCCAAAATTTGCATGCAGAATAGGATATGAGTGGATAAAGCATGGTCAACAGAACAATTCTAGGACCCACAAGGGGTGGTTGATGGACCCCCTCAAAATTTTATATGGACATCCCTGACAGGACGTGCTGGTTGATGCTTTTAGAAAACCGCTCGTCGTTCAGTTTCATTCACCTTTTGATCACCTCATCTCGTGCGGCAAGACAACCAGCTGTGCCATGGAATCGGACAGTCTGCCACCTTAGGTGTTAGTGCGCCCCACGGAATCGCGGACGGCGGGCGGTGCCGTGCGGAGGGAATCCGGACCTGCAGTCACAGGACGTCCGTCGGTGATGCGTCGGCACAGAACATGTGAAGAGGCACAGGTAGATCCCAGGCCTCAAACAGATGTCTTGAGCCTTGCAGATTCACTGCAGAACCACCCGATCTGCGGCTTATCCGGCGCCATCGATTCCTTGCCTGCCTGTTTGCGTCTGGGACCCCTCGAGCCGGACCTGCAGGGAGCTGCGGGCTCCTCCGCAGATCCGCCGTTTCAGCATTATGACGCGCTTTAGCCGAGAGCGAAAGGTCACCCCGCGGTCAGTCCGCGTCAGTCCGGTCGTTGGATCGATTCGGGTCCGATCCCGGACGGAGCGCGGTGCGATCCGGATGGTTGTGTGTTTTTTGCCGGCAGAGGTGTTATTGTTTTGGGAGGGGGCATGAGTGACAGTCAGTGATTCGTTTTGAGGTGAAGGATGGCCAGTGGTTGTCAGAGATCAAGAAATGATGCCTGGTTGTGTCCTAGGGCTGCAACTACCTTCTGAGTAGGTCTTTGGGGTGGGGGTGATGATGGGGTGATGGGTTTGACTTCCTTCTGAGGATGTAGTTGGAGCACTTGGGGGTGTGAGAGACAATGTGTTGTCACTTGTGTTGTCGTCATGCTGTGCCAGGCAGCCGTTTCGGCTACAGGTTATATAATATATATATATAGGCATGTCTTTTTTGGTGGCCAAGGCAAATGGAACTTGTGCAGGTAATGAGGCAGCCTCTAGCGCCTGAAGGCAGTCTATATCTCAATCAGACTTGATGCTGAAGTCCGTACATCACTGGCTTGGCAAGCCGGGGATTTCATTGTAGATTTCACTCATTCTGACATGCTTTGCTGCCCAACAAATACTCCGAAAGATCGTATCGGATTGCCTCTTTAACTTTGCCAGCAGTCAGTCTTATCTTTATAGCGCAAGCCTCATGTTTGTGCTCGAGTATGGACCCTCATCTATGGGTTTGGTTCGGGACCGGCTGTGAACGGAGCGTCAAGGAGCATAACACACCTCCTCCAAACGGAAGAAACGCTTCGGTTTCCTGGGCGCGGAGTTCCAACCCGCCATGGCGATGTGATGGCACAGCGCGGGGGGAAAGCCCCGCGCGGGGAGGATGCGAGGCACGGCAGGGTTTCACATGGGGCGGGTGGGACGTTTGGGACACCAGGCACCTGGAGATGCGGAATGCGCAAAGCCGCAATGCCGATGAAACTCGGCCAACGGCAGCTGGTTTGCTGTTCCGAAGCAATTTATCTCCCCAGTTCAAAGTCCGATACATTGAGAGAAGCATGCATATATATCCTTCAGCGCAGCAGATTGCATGAACTCCACCTCCGTAACCTTTCCCAGAAGTCTATGTACCACACCGGGGATCCCATTCCTTTCAGCTGCGCAGTTCCATTCCGGGCCACTCCGCCCCATCCATTCGTGGCAACACCATGGCGGAGCCTGTGGATGAACTGGCCATGCCGGAGTTGGTGCGATTGCTCCTGGGCAGCGAGCACGCACCCGGCACCGGCGAGTACTCGGGCGTGGACTTGGACATACTTGGACATAAACCAAACGCGCCGTGGACGAGGCGAGATGATGAAGTGATGTTTAACTAGAGGGAAGATAATCTTCTCCGAGCTATGAACATGAAAGTACAAAGCCACCTGTTTCACCCTCTTTCACCTGTTTGTCTAACATGCTATAATAATAATAAATGGATGATCTTTCGTTTCGATCAAGGCCGGGAGTGCACCTCCTGTTGGAACGACCAGCCAGGGCCATCCGACCGGTTGGAAGATGGGAAGGTGAAACGCCCAGCGACGCAGGTTCGTTGCAGCGCAAGAGGCGCTTCATGAGACCGGCAAGAGACCCCAAACAGTGTGTGTGAGGTGAGGCCGGTGAGGCCCTGAATACCCCTAGCGTGTTTGAACCCCTAGTGTGACCACACTGTTTGGGGAAACAGCTCCAGCCGGCCCT